TTTTATGTATGTGGATATTATTGCTATTAATCTTACAAAGTTTACCCATGCTACTGTTTGTAGGTAGAGATTCTCTGTTTAGCGCATGAACTATTAACAATGACAAATTTATTTCTTCCTTTACAATATTTTCTTTGTTTCTTACTACATCCATTTAAACATACACTATACCATTAAATAGATACGGTAATGGGCTTTCTTCTCTTAGTTTGAAACTTCAGGAAAGAATTCCGTGTATCATCATCATTAAAGAATTACTAATTGTAGTAGAAGCTTTTTGTTCAAGAAAATTTCTTCTAGATTTTTCTGAGTATTAATTTTTATTTCAATTTTTAATTAAAGTTTATACAAATTGATTTGATTCAAATAGTCTATATCAATTTCATTTTTCTTTTATTTAATGTATTGAATCACATTTTTAAAAAATTAAACCAATATTGAATTCCTATGAAAAATTCCAATTGGTCCTATATATATCTTTTTCATATAGCACTAATTTTTTCTTTGCCAATATATTGTGTTGTTACAACTTTTTGTGTCTCGGTTTCTCAAGTATTGACTGATAGTCATCGTTTCTTTTTTGTTTGTGTCAAGGTTATGCTAATTTAGTAGATCAGTTTTGGAAGTGCCCTATCTTTTCTAGACTTTGACTTTGTGTATAAGATTGCCACTATTTATTTTTTTATTTTTTCAGTATTAATTCCTTATTGAGACCATCGGAATTTTTCATTTTATATACCTTTCAGGACTACATTTTCTATTCTAGAACTTTGGTTCGTTTTGATAGTATTTTATCATTGCAATTTTTATAGTTTGTATTTCTCTCGGGGAGGCCATATTTGTTCCTTTCTTGTGTTCACATTATGTGTTGAGTAGTGAACATATTTAAATTAGCTTACTAGATCATCTCTGTAGTTTTTGAATCTACTTTATTAGACCATTTTTTTTCCTGGTCATAATGCAACAGCAAATGGAAGCATTGAAACTACGCCCAGGTTGGGAGCCAGATTTATTTTATATTGATAGACACTGATTGGGAGCACTCTCAGATTATCAGGCCCTGATTTTTGATAGCCTATAGCTTGGATGGGATAAGCAACCCGGAAGCACAGGGGCAGAATGGCTTGTCAGCTGGGGCTTGGTTTATCCAGTGTGCATCACAGTGACTGGCTGTTCATCATGTGACCAGCTGTCTCTGAGAGACAGGAGCACTGGAACTGGAGAAGCAATTATAACCTGGGCAAGAAAGAAACTGAAGGCTTCTTGCTGGGGGCCCCATTTTCTGTTCAATAGTTCACCTTGTGCAGCTTTTTCATATGCCTGGTTATTCTGGGTTTATGTTCTAGATATTTTTAATGTTTTGTTGTGGCATTCTGGGGTTTTCTGTCAATTTAGAGATGTTGAATTTTGTTTTGAGAAGGAATTAATTTACTGCTGGATCATCTGGCGTCTTTCAACGCTGGCTTCGAAGATTTTGGGGGGAAGGCTATGAGTAACCTTCACTCTAGGAGTAAGTTACCCCTACTTCTGAAGGTGTGGTCTTTCAGATTCCTGAGATAATCAGCAGGGTTTCCTCCAGCTCCCTGAAATGTGAACATCCTGTATAAGCTTCAGTGGTTGTTGAAATTACAGTTTTTTAGTGCACATTCTTTCTGTGAGTGCTCTTTGTCTGGTATTGTGGCCTCACATCTAAATATCTATGTTCTAGAGTCTCATATTTAAAGACACACATTTCTCTTTTTTCCAGAAAGAAAATAAGGTGTTTTCTACATATATTTCTGTAGTTTTCTGTAAAGCTCTCTTCTTTCTGGCCTTCTGTTCCACAGATTTCTGCAAAGTTGCTTTACTAATATGAATCTCTCTCTCTCTCTCTCTCTCTCTCTCTCTCTCTCTCTCTTTTAATCACTATTGAGATCATCTAGTGAATTCTCCATCTTTTATACTTTTCAGTACTGCAGTTCTGTGCTAGAACTGTAGTTGGCTTTCATAGTTACTTGTCTACTAAGATGTTCATTTTTTTCTTTTTTGCATTTTAAAATTTTTAATCTGGGATACTTTTCTTTCAGTCACCAGTTATTTATTATTTCTTATAGCTCAGGACTGCTTTTCAACCATTTTCTTAGCTTCTTCAGTCAACTATGCTCCTCAAGCATTTTCTCCAGAAGGGAGGAAACCTGAACAGTGCACATGCTTGGCCGCTTTAAGAGCGTACAGTGGGAGGGTCCGCTGTCCCTCTGCACCCTTTTGAGGTAGACTCACCGAGTGCACCCCCTCTCACTTGACCGCCATAACACTCTATTCTTCCTGGCAGCTCACAGTGGAGTTTTAGGATGAGTTCAGAAACATTATCTAGCTCCCATAATATCTAGAAATTTCCCATTCCTCAGTAAATGATCTTCCTGGAAAATACCCATTTAAAAAGGCCCGGAGAAGGTTTTACAGTAGACATCTGTAGCAGCACCTCCCCTGAATAGGGATGTCAGGTCTGTGCAGTGGCTCAGTTCTGGGGGCTAGAAACAGACCTTAGGTGTCAGTAAGGCACCTTGCATTCATTTCCACCCGGAAGGATAAACATCTGTCTTCTGTTTTGGTTGGGTTTCTTTTTCTGTTTGTTTGCAACAATCCATCATTGCAGACTTTTTTTATTTCAAAACATTTATCAGTGCTCTTTCCAGTGGTTACAGTAGTGATTGCCTTCACCTAGTTAATGAGGACTAACTGCTGCCACCTGACTTGTATCATTATTCCCAGTGAGAGCACGGAAACCAGTTACATTGCCATCTACTATTACTTTTAGTGTTCCTATAATACGTCATATAATATTATCAAAACATTGCACATAATGTATTCAGTCCAACATTGTCATTCCCCTGTCCTATGAGCTTTTTATTCTATAGAGAAGCTCCACATTTTAGCATAATTACACAGTGATTATAGAATCAAACCTTTCTCAGCCAACTATTAACGTCATCTGTTGTTTTCATTCAATTGTGAGTTCCAGGTAGTTGTACCTATCTCAATTAAATCACCTATCACGACTTTTTACTTCCCTTCCCCTAAACACTATTCATTCCAATGAAGATGGTAGAAGTGATTTCCGAGCAAAGTTGTATTCAATTTTTGAGTCACTGAAGATTTTTTCCTTCCAAAGTGTTTCTACTTAATAAGTGGGATTGCCTCTCTCAACAGGAAAAATATGTTTGGAGATCTCGGCCTCCTCCAATCTGTAAAAATATCATCATCTCTTACCTCAGACTTCTAGTTCTTCTTTATCCTTAGTGTAAGAAACCTTAAAGGCTTAAATTTTTAATTCAGACCATACCTTTATAAGCCGCACATCAGATGTCAGCTTTATCGATAACTCTGTCATCGCTGCCTTGTAATGCAAGAAAGGAAGGATTCCTTCAAAACTGCCAAGGACGACTTCTGGCTACCCAAGTATGTTTTTCATTGTGCATTCATAATGTATGATTCCCCCTTTGCTCTCTGTCGGGAGCCTCATAGGAATATAGACTTGTGACTGAACGTCACACCATTTGATCTCTTCACACCTTGCCTACATCTGAATTTCATCTCATGTTCCCATTGATGAGAAGCTGAGTAATTAGGATGCTATTTTATCCTGTAGACTTTGTATGTCCTATTACTGCTGTTTCTTGAATAGATAAACAATCTATATCCTACATTGTATATTGAAAGTCTATTTCCTTAGGCTATTTCTGGTACAATTACTGTACATGAGTGCCAACAGAAAACCAATATCATATCCAATTAGGAGGAGAAGTTAATAAAGGAATTATTTACAAAGCTTTGGTCAACCTACAAGCAATTTGTGACGGCTTAGAACAAATACTCTAGAGTTGCCTAATAGCAGACTAACATTCCTTACCTTAAAGAGAGGAATGGGAAGAAACATTCTCAGAGCCCAGAAGGAAAGACCATCCTAAGCATCACCTTGAGAAAATCTGGGATTTTGGTTAGGAGGCATAGCCATCCATAGACTACTCCATAAAGAAGGAAAACCCTTCCATCCCTTAAACTGCTGATTAGGGTTCTCACATGGCCCAACCGGAGGAGAGGAGAGGACTTTGACACAGGCTGTACTACCAAGACTCTTGATACACCAGATCTATGGAGTGCTGTTTGTTGAATATGGTTTGTCTCCCAAACTTCCATCCACTAGAATTTTGGTCCCCAGTGTGATAGATGGTGTTGAGGTGATGGAACATTTGAGTAGTGAAAAGTACTTCCTGGGGCTTCACCCTCATGATTGCCTTAATTTTGTCTCAGATAGGGGGTGAGACTTTGTGGGCCCAGATTCATTGCTGCAAGAATGTGTTGTTGTAAAAGAACCTGGCCCCTCCACTAAAAATTCTTTTTCACACATGCTCCCACCATTGTAATGTCATCTGCCGGTGGCCTCACCAGATGTTGGCATTCCAGCTAAATAAATTTATTTTCAGTATCAAGTAGCCACTGTCAGGTTTTTTGTTATAGTAACACAAAAATTAAGACAAAGAGTTTTAAGTATGCTTGTGTTAGGAATTTTGTTTGATTTTCAGAAGGAAAATATCATCATAAGTACTTCTCAAATAAGAAATAAGTTTCTAATCAGCACTGAAAACTCTGCTTTCTCTAATCTACATTTCCTCTAGGAGAAAAGTGATTTTTGCAAGAATTTTAGTCACCTACAGATCACGTGAACAATTCATAAATATTTCACTGTTTATCTCTGTGCTGTTTTCAAAATAACAAATGTTCAGGCTTGTTTACAATCAATAATTTTATTAAATATTTTAACGAATCTACATATATTTAAAATTCAATATAATAATAAATACTTTCCAATAAATAATTTAAATGAAACTATTTTAGAGCCCTTAGGGCTTACAAAAAGAATCTTAAAAGATCCATATTTATGATCTGAAGGCTAAGAATAATAGTTACAAAAGGTAGCAAATCATACATTCAAAAATAAATATAATATTTAAATAAATAGAAATCCATATGTCTTCAATGGGAGGCACGTGATAATCAAGTCAGTCTTGACATGATTTTCTGACAAAAAGCGATCCATCTCTTCAGAAATTCCACAATGTTTACTGATTCATCTTCTAAGTCACACACAAATGCTGTTTCGGATCCCTATAGGAAAAAAATTCATATTTTAAAAGTTTTCTGCAATTTGCCACATGTATGTATTTTCAACCCAAGTCTTACAGGATTCTGACTTTCATTTTTAAGTGTGTTAAAATATGTGAATAATTCACATTTTCTTAAAAGTATCAAACTGATATGCTAAAAATTATATATTTATTATGATACCAACTAACAGTAACATACAAAAGCTAGGATTTTCTCATTGTTATTTCTTTTTCAATAAATAAAATATTTTTTTGAATTGGATACAAGAAAGCATCTGAATGAGAACAGTTCTACACAAATATTTTATTAAGTATCATATGCAAAAATGTCTCTTTTACTGGGCATGTATCTACATCTATAACTCTATCAATATAGATTATATATATGAAGTAATACATTCGATTGTCCTTCTCTAAATTCTGATTACGAAACTCCTACTATTCAATTTTTGTGACCCTCTATATATTTTCCCGGAGTAAACTAGAACAAGCTTCTGCTTGGGGTAAGTTTATGTGAAGAACACATCATAAATAGACTTAATGCGCCACGCCACCCTAGTATCAATACTGGTTTCCCAATTTTAAGAGGGTAAACATTACAAATTTTGTTCTGGGATTAGTCTTATAGAAATTAACCTCTTCTGCTGAAAAGATCTATGTCGACTGTGCCTCTAGCTGAAAGCTGAAGAGAAAATATTATAATATATACCGTGATATGAATGGCTTTTTCAAATTTGCAGTGATTCCTTGCAAATCACATGATGTAAATTATTTCTTTTAAAAAGATTTTCTTTAAAATAACTGTTATAGTATACATATACATATTTGAACATTGTACTCTTTTTGCAAAAGTATTTAAATTTTAAAGAATAAGGGACTTTGGAAACATGTTTTCTTATTTTTAACTAATTTTATTTTGAGTTTGTATTATTAGATTAGAGTGAGTTTCTTCATGTTACTGTGTGATTTTTAAAGCAAATTATTTGATATAGATAAGGCACTTAGCTAGTCTGTCACTATGTATATGACACTGATCTCAATGTATTTTTAAAAAGTTTAAATTGAAAGTCCAATAATAAACTGACTCATATCGGAAACAACTAGAGTTTCATACATTTAGAAACTTGTCTCTACTATTGTAATTAAAATTGCTCTGCTTATTTATAAAGCTGTTAATTCATGAATTTTATACTTAATAGAATGAAAGAAGAAAACTATGAATTTTGTCATCTAACACTGCAAATGATTCAGATTTATGGTGGACTTTAAATGTTAGCTAATTAAATGCATGAATACTTCAACTAATACCAAGAAGGTTATACCACATCAAAATGTAGTACTTTCCATCCCCTAGCCCACCCCACTTTTCTCCCATCTCCGGGGCAGCAAATAAAAGTAATCTTTTACCTTTAGGCTCAGAACTGTTACATTGATATTACTGATGAAATCCTTGGTGTGTATCAAGGGAAAGTTTTTGTGTTCAGCTAAATTTAGCACCTGCTCCACGGCCCTCAGTTCTTCCTCTAGACACTGAAGATGTTGCAGTTCTGAGACCTAGTAAAATAGTACAAATGATTATCAACTCACATACCCTATATTAAACATCAGGATCAGAAGTTAATTGTAATTTATTTTATTAAGAGCAGTAGTAGTAGCATACAATTTTTATCATTACCTCTGTTCCTAGTATTGCTGTAAAAATGGACCAACACAGTTTATATTACAAAACTAGGAAAACTAGGACTCAAAAATTTAGGATTAACTATTAGTTAAGAACTAATGAGTCATTTGTTTCAGTTGATTTAGGCTTCGAAAAAAGTCAACATTTTTGCATCCAAATGCCAATCACAGATGAAGGCTACTTTTCCAGTCTGCATAGATACCATTAGAACCAGAGCCGAATCATGTGTAAGTAGAAGAATCATATTCTATGATTGTAGTATTTGATAATCTGAATTGAGAATTACAAAATGTTACAGGATATAAGGAGTCCTGTATACTGTCTATCACAGTCCTAAAATGTTATAGATTAGATTATTATAACCATGTAGCAATGAGTTTTAATATTGCCTGGAGCAAAGCACATATAGCTGTGTGTTGAATTTTTACTTTTCTGCAATTACTACATCATTTTTAAAAAATTATTTGTCCCAACCAAAGTTGGACGGGTTACTAGATAAATAGATAGAACACAGATAGTACTTCGTACTTTAATTATACATTACATTTTCTGTAAAAACTCCGTAGTGTGTTCTCTAAATAACCCACTTTAAATTCACAACCACATTTGAGATAAACAGTATATCTCCATTTTACAAGTAAGAAAGCTAAATCTCAGAATTTGTGTCATCCCCAAGGGCACATGAGTAAGTGGAGCTAACATTAAATTTTAACCTTTTCACTGTAGCATTGTCACAGCATTCTCTGAATTAAATAACTTAATTCTAAAATTGATTGTATATGTGGAATGATAGTTAAGTGAACAAATGAATAGAGTTTATCATATTACTTTGGGTTTCAAATAGTTTCAGTTGTCATTTAGAAACTTAGATTTCAAAGAATTCCACCACCCTTTAAATTGTGCACATCCTCTCATGTCATCTTTCTAACAATTGTTAGCAAAAAGTTAGAGCCAGACATCACCTATGTCCTGCTGTGTTCATTTACTGTCCTTTCAACTTGTTACTAAAAGTTCCACCATTGAAGGGGTGGCCTTTTTTGGCTTGAAAACTTGGAGTTATTTCCTTCAGAAATCGTCTAGTGGCTTTCTATTGCTGGATTTAAATTTTGCTGACCCCAGTTAGACTAGAGGAACAAGCTATTTCTTTTGCCTCTTTCAATAGAGTAGTTTGAAGCAGAATTTCCTTGTTAGGGTACAAGTGGATCAATGAGACCACATCTTTATCCACTTAAATCCCAATTTTTTCCATGCTTGAATTTACCCTAGCACAACCTCTTCTGGCACCAAAGTTATACCCATTCTCTGTTCACAGGCACAACTGTTAGGAAGTTTTGTATCTTCATGTAGCTGTAGAAGCTCAGGTTATCTATTGCTTAGCATATACTCTCTGAATCCCAAAACAACCAAACGAAGATTTTAAGTCTGAGGAGAAATGTTATACAGTATTTCAAGTTTCTAGTAAAAATCAGTCCAAAATTTTACTTTATACTTCTCAGTAATAATTTTTCCTTTACTACTAGTAATAATAATTCATGCTTCTATAATTTTCCTACTTGCTTGTTATTGTCCTTAATTTTCACAGAACTATATTAAGCACATGCATTATTATTCTTGTAAGTAGATCAGAAGCTGACTTGTAAAGAAAATTAGCTAGTTGCCCAAAGTCATGTAAACAAGAACACAGCAGAGCTGAGATTTCACTCCAGATAATCTGGCCCCAGCGTCTGTGTTTTCAGTTATTGTGCTATTCAAACTCTCAAAGACAGACTCGGAGGAAAATCTTTCCTAATGCTCCCCTGAAATCACTTCTGAATTTTATATCTAAAATGATATGGTCAAATAGCTCTGGAGTTTCACATTGTTAAGTAAAATAGTAAGTCAACATAATCTTTTAAAATTGTCCCAGGAGCAAAGTGAGAGTATTATTGCTGTACTTTCTACTGACTATGTCTCCCCAACACACAAATATCTATAAAAATGTAAGCAAAACTGTTTAACAGAAACCCCATTATCAAACTTATGGTTTTCAAAAAGATACTGAAATTAGTCACTTTCCCTTCAATTGAAGTGCTATTACTTCAATCATTGTGCAAATTTCATGTTACTTTTCATTTTATTAAAACGTATATAAACATAAAAAATTGTGCTTACCATCTTGGGTGGGTAGAGTTTTAATTTTAGCATCTTAGGGAGTCTGGGGTTGCTCTGAGAAAGCATAACACATTACTATTAGAAAATGAACACCAGCAAGAAAAAGCAATTGCAATCATTTTAGTTAGAAAGAGAATATACTTACAGTAACGCCTTCCAAGAGTGTCTGTAAATCCCTCAGTAATAGCTCCAGTCGGTCCTGTGTTTGCTTTGGAGAGCTTGAAGTAGGTGCACTGCTCGTGAGAAGTGCAAGGGTTAGTGCAAGGCAAGACAAGAGTAGCGTCTTGTACATTGTGGCAGGAGCTGAGGTTACTGTGAGTAGTGATTAGAGAGGATGATAGGAAGCTCTTGAACAAGAGGAGCAATTTATACTGTTAATTCTGGAAAAATAATATGGGGGTGTCATAATGTTTTACATATTACACATATTTTCAAAGACTCTACCTGTGTGGCAGAAAGCATTACCTTTATTTTTCCTCCTCTGATGACTCTTTGGAATTTCTTTAAACCCCCATAAACTGACTGAATGGATGTAGGTGAAATCCCTCTTGGTTACCTTAGCCCACACTTAGGCGGCAGTTTTAATGTATACAACTAACGCCTTCTGTATGAAACAATTTTTCCTCTTTTCTGTAAGGGGGTGGAGATACAAAAGTAACTCATGAAAATTTTCTCTTTGTCATACACTGTGCTGAATGTGTAAGCAGCATGTTGTGGTGGACAAGGAGAGTAAATAGATGAAATGAATACATTCTAGATTTGTTGATTAGACAGGAAGAATACTGGTTTCCTGTTTCAGGATGGTTTTACTTTTTCATCTACACAATGAGCTAATTGCATGCAACATGATAAATTGCTTCTTACACTGTTAGCTAGAGAAATATTAAGATACCTGAAAAGGCTGAGTGAGTTTGAAACAATGTTTTATTCTGCCCTAAATTTAAACTGTTTCTGTTTCTGTTTAAATGTCTTAATGCCTGTTGTACTTTTTAAAAACTGATGTTTAACAAGTACTAAGAAAACATTAGCATCCAAGGATGCTGATACTAGTTTTATAGCAGACTTTATATGCATCATATATAAATCAATCCATCTTTTCTGTGTAACTGATTTGGATTTATTCTCTAAAGTACCTGTGACATTGCAGTGTGAGAATTGTGCTTATGAAATATGAGCAGATTAATATTTTTTCAGCTGATAAACTGGGTAGAATACTTTGATGTGTTCACTCATCCTCAATATAAAGCACAAACTGGGTGAATGATGGTGTAGCTAGATTTCTAATCTAGGAAAAACTGAAACTATCTTTTTCAAACTGATTGCCTGTAACACTGCCATCTTTACTACCTTACTTATTTCTAGTCTAATCTTTAAACAGACATTCATGTAGCACCTAAAACGGCCTCAAGTATGTGGAAAGGGGTGAAGGGGTATGCAAGCATACAAACTGGTTTAAGCCTAACATATACCTTTGAAGTGGTGGTTCCTGGTTTGTCCTCTTTTGCAGACTAAAAAACTGAGAATTAGACAAATTAGCTACAATAACTTGTTCTAGATCACTGAGCTCTTATTGCCAGGAAGAAGCAGAACAAGAATTTGAAACTGCAATGTTCTGACTCCAAAGGCTTCCCCCTTAACATTTATATTCTTTCTCAACCTGCTGCGTAATAGGAAAGAGAGATACCTAGGCAATCCTAGGTAAAAGGTGACTGTTTTGTCAGGAGAAAGGAATGCAACGAATTCTGAACAATGAAAAATTACACAAAAATGAATTTGGACAATGATGAGGACAGGAGGGCCAGAAATGGTTAAATATTATAAGGAATACTCAATTGTAGTCTTTTACAAAGGACAGAGAAAATGGTTTAGTAATACTTACGTGTGCACTGGAGAATATAAGACTTCTTTATAACAAATTAAGATAAGCATCACATTTTCTTAAGTGTAAAAGTAAAGGAAAACCCAAGTTAGGGACAAGTCTTACGATTTTGTTCTGTCACCTAATATGTGAAAACACATCTGTGACCTTTGAAATTAAAACACATGCATTGTTGTCAGGAGAAGGCGATTTATTGAGTGTGTGTCAACTTCATTAATCCTTTTTCACTTCTCTTAAGGCCTCAGTGTCTCATCCCAGCATCATGGCCCAACACTTTACCCTTCCAGAATGCAAGAATTCAGGCCCACACATTTTCCTGAGTGGGGACTTTTCCAGTGGGACCTTTGATGTTCTCAAGATCTTGATATTTAGATTTCTTTAGCTTTTCCATTAGAGAATGAGGTGCTGTATACATTTCTGGGACCTTGTAGAAAACTGTTTTGGCTCCTCAGTTCATTCCTGATATTGTATAATAGACACCAGTACAAAAGTTGACCTCATCATTTCTTTCTTGAAATGCCTGGGGAGAAAGTTCCTGTATACTGTGGCATGCTTTCTATTTTTAACATGTCTGACACATAAGCTGGCTTTTCTGGCTATCTGTGGTGGTGACATAATCAGTACCAGACTGTTAACTACCACGTGTGTTACACCCCTCTTCTTGCAGCATGTAAAATTTTATTACTCAACAAGAAATTTTAGTTGCTTAGCATTCGTTGTGTGACTCTGCTTCTTAGAGTCGAATAACCCAAGTGCTTTTCAAAGGGCAGCTTCAGGGCCTGTGTCTGCCTCCCAAAAACACCGGTCAGTCCATTGCACATATTTTTCCTCTATTTCAAGGCCCCTGTCTGCCACAAGAATTTCTTCCTTCCAATCTTCTTTCACAGTTTTGTAAAACCTTAATTTGGCCTGGAACTCGAGGCTCAGTTTAGTGTATGTCTTGTCAGTTTCTCCAAAATTCTCTTGGCTTTTCAGTTCAGCTTCTGTTCCCTCCCTTTGAAATTAGGACGTATTGTTTGATGATGTTATCACACCATACCATCCTGAGAGAATTCCACTAGGTGTTTGTGACTCTTGTGATCATCGATTTATGTATTTACAGATGTGTCGCATTATGAAGTACCATAGAGCTGGTAAAGAAATGTAAGCACCAAACCATGCCTGAGGAAATCTACACTTTCACAGGAAACACAAAACTCCTGGCAGCTGTAGGTGCTGTTCTCTGTGGTAAATTTTAAAGATGTTCATGATGTTTTTGGATGGAAGGATTATTTAGTTGGTACTTCTACTTTTGCAAAGTATATTCAAATTTATCAACCCATTGAATCATGTTTTACTGATAGGAAACCTGACATCTGCCAAGTTAAGCTACTTGCCCCAAATCAGATTCTTAATTAGAGATGAAGTTAGGACAAAAACACAAGACTTCTTGATCCCTTAGAGTCTTAGGTATTTCCAGGTTAACGTAGTGGTGCCAAATTCCAGGATAACTGGGTCACAGAAGCCAGACTGTTTGACCGAGTCCGCCACTCCATCTCCCTGTGTCTGGCTATGACAGCTGACAAATTGGGTATAATTCACCTTCAGCTCCACGTGGTGTCTGACCAGCATTAGCATTTCTATGAGCTTAGAGCAGGTGAATCCACACCACAGCTACAAAAGCTAGTTTTTGCTTGTTTTTTAGTATCTGTTTGATATATTTTTAAAATGCTGGAGCTTTCATTAGTCCCTGATGTTTCTCTTGCATCTAAAGTAACAAGTGATTATATGGCCTGTGGTATCACACTAAACTGCGCTTCTAAAGCACAGCATGCTAAGGCTGACATGGAAATGCTGCCGTAGGACCTGCTAGCTTTGGCAGCCAAGGGACACCTTCCTATGTAAATGCGATGAAGATGGGGGTGTCTTAAGAACCTTTGGAAATTCACTTTTTGTGTAAATGTGAGATCCCTACAGCAAGTCATTCTGAAATTACTAGAATTAGAATATGATGATATAACAGTAATAGCTTATATGCACACAACACTTCAAATTTATAAAACACTTTCATGTCCATTCATCTCATCTTACTTCTTTTAATCTAATTAATTTGTAAAGTTGTTTAAGAAAGAATTGTCTGTTTTTATGAGTTTCATACAGCCAGAAGAATGTTACTGTCTTTATACATGAAAAATCACAGGTAAATATTAACTTTCTGCTTGCCAAGATAAATGCTTTCTTTAAAATCTTGTGAAAATACATCTGTTACTTATAGTCATTTAAGCTTATCTGCATAATTGTTTTTCTGAATAATCTGTCTAATTTTTCTGTTAACTGATGGTTCTTTCCTTTTTTCCTGTAGTGTCTTTGGATATGCCATTGACAGAATCCATTTTTCATCACCCAAATTAATACATTTTTAGAAGATCCTAGTCTGAATGCTTGCTTTAAAATTTATAGCTTTATTTGTGACAAAAACAATGCATATTTATATAGAAAATTTGGGAAATATAGAGAAGCTTTAAAAAAATCAAAAACCAAAATTCAACTATAATCTCACCTGCTGGAGATAACCATCCTTAACACCTTTTACTTCACACTGCTGCAGATCAAGAAACAAACATTACAGAAGATAGTAATGCTAGAGAAGAGGGGGTCAAGCAAAGAAACACTATCAGAACTCACTCATGCAACTCATGGAGATGTGAGGAGGAGCAGCCTCCATGAATAAGATGCATCCGTAGCTCCTGCTGTTGGGAAGAGGTGGAAAGCTTTCCCATCACCTTATGGTAGCTGTGCTTTCTATGCCAGTGGAGTTTTTAGCAGCAGCTGATAGGTGACTAATTTTAAAAACATAATTTTGAAAGTGTTTTAAATATCTTGTAATTTCAAAAACATCTACAAGTTTGTATGCACTCATTCTTAATTCTCTTCTCTGTTCTTGACCTGTATCACGATGTCACCACAATTTCAGGCAAATAGCTCTGAATTCTCTACAAGAGAAGGTCAGGATTTGTAGAGTTCATTTCTGCCGTTAGGACCAGGTTGTTTACAGATTAACACAGAGATTTTCTCCCCTGTCTCTCACAGGGTTGGGTATTCCATTTCCTACAACTTGGATTATGTAGAGAGAATTTATTTAGATCATTAACATCAGGTATCAATGAGAATAACTTGTGAGTACAGTTGTTAAGTACAGTAGGGAAGATAGAAAATAAAAGGAATGAAAATCTTTAGTATAATGATTTATTAAAGTTAGTTTTTTAAATTGAAGGCTAAGAGTAAGAAGAATAAAAAAGCACTTCATGCTGTAAAATTGTCAGAAGATAGAATACAAAGAACAATACCAAAAACTGTTCAGATTTTTCCCATCAGCGTGGCTCAGTCATGTCATTAGTTTCTTCTCTGACAGTCTTGAGTTTGAAATATATCTCTTAAAGTTGTCTGCTTATTAATTATAC